TTTGATAACAGTATAATAGTCGGGTCCTGCCATTTGATTTCTTTGAAACGTCTTACAAGATGCGAAGACAAGTGGACGCCGTACCGCCCCTAATAATGATACATGTACACAGCAGTCACATAGCTGTGGGTTTAAATCGCAGTAAGCCGGACGGAATGTTTTTTTTGCCCCCGCTGTAGGAAGCGTTTAGAAACAAATCAACGGCGAATCTCCAATTCTAGTACAGCCACAAAGGAAGCAACATATATAGACTCCAAGTAAAACGTAAGGTTATCCCTTTACTTAATTAAACACCACACCATGAAGACATATGGGTGAGTGAAGGCATTGCGTTGCGGTAACCTGTGCACTATATGGAGGTGAATGATCATCTTCACGCCCCGGCCGCTTTAACCACAAGACCGAGTCAAATATACCTATTTGATAGGATGCTGATTGGGCCTCGCAACCAGACTGAACGCTGTCATATCGGAATTTGAACACAATTTCTCTGGTGTCCACCCCGGAGCGTAATCGGTAAATTGACTGAAGTAACCTTGCTCCTATATATAGAAATAAATTTTAAGACTAAGAATTAGAATTTAGAATATATAAATAGAGAAAGTTCGAGCATGTTAAACATTGCAAAGAACTACGATGAAAATCTTTAAAGCATGGTGGTTACTATATGTACAACCTACTTTTTCACGTCAGAACTCTGCATTTTTACATATATTGTATATTTTTTCATATGATTATCAGAATATACAACAATTATTTACCCATACAGTATTGCTCGGTTGGTCTTTCTTGTGAGAACGTATTGTTTTCTGTAGGAATGGAATCTGTACCGTTCAGGCTTCAGAGAGGTAATTATAATACCGACAGATGAAACACCGTATGCATAATGGGAAATGCGATATATACATAATCGTCTTTAAAGATATAATAGACACTTAAAGTGCCAAGCGTCTAAAACTGTTGGAAAAAATATTGAGAAAGGTGTTGAAGCATAGACTGTATGCTTGTATCTTTTAGCTACAACTGCTGCAGATTGTTTTCTGCAGTGGAAAGGTGGTCAGTTTTAGAATTCTGAGAGGTAAGAAATGAAGTGTTTATCAGATGAAAAGACAAAAAAGAGACAAAAAATTATCCTGAAAAAAATTATGACTGCCTTCAGAAATGCCTCAGATATATTATAATTACAAAAATTGACGCTTTTATTAATCCAAGCGAAGTATATATCATCATACAATAATCCTGTCTTCACGTTTTGTAAGAATCTCACAGAAAGTATGTTTTGGCGGAAACCAAATACAGAACGGCCAGCCAATCAGATGTTACAAAACCGATTTAAATCTTGAAGGGAAGGCGGCTAGAAATGTTAGATTCGCTCGTAGGTTGGCACCGCCTTGTGCCTGAATCAGGCGTTAGAGATGTAATGTCATATTCTTTTTACTATTATCATCCATTCTTTGGAACATACGGCGAACCAGACATTAGATAAAAGGTAAAGTTGTCCCTGTACTTAACTAATTAAGTATTACGCCATGAAGACGAATGGGGGAGTGGATGTATATATCCATATTTTCTTGATTCGGCACTAGTTGGAGGTGAGTGGTCAGCTTTACGCCCCGGCCACTCTATCCCCAAAGAAAGAGCCCCCGGTACCCATTGGATAGGAGTCTGGGTGGGCCCCAGATCCGGTCTGGACGACATGGAAAAGCGAAGATTCTTGACTGCACCGGGACTCGAATTCCGACCCCTCGGAAATAATTAAATAATCTTCCTTGGGAGTAAACCGCTGCCGGCGCGTAAGGCTGACAACCTTACCGCCATCTCTGAGTCGACTGTCTAGATAATGTGGGGGACCCTCAACGTCTCACAACCCTATGGGCCTTCACGGTCTGGTACAGGGATAGCTTTACTTTACTTTTACTTACCGATGGAACTGAGCCCTTCTTGAGAAGCCAAAAGTTCTGCAGCTACTCAAGAACTTCAGCATTTTATGGAACCCGAAGGTTCATTACCGTGTTCACAAGAACCCTCCACTGGTCCCTATCCTGAGCCAGTCTAGTCTCTACCATCTCATCCTATCTCTCTAAGATCCATTTTAATATTGTTCACCCACCTACGCATTTATACTTACTTACTTACTTACTTACCATGGACCTAAGCCCTTCTTGAGGAGCAGCCAATTCTGCAGGTACTCAAGAATTTCCCAGCATTTTATGGAACCCGAAGGTTCATTACCGTGTTCACAAGAGCACTCCATGATCCCTATCCTGAGCTAGATTAATCCAGTCAATTCCATCCCATCCTATCTCTATAAGATCAATTTTAATATTTTCCACCTACCTACGCCTTTGTCTTCCCAGTGGTCTTTTTCTTTTGGCTTTCCCACCACTAGCCTATATGCATTCCTCGTCTCCCCCATTCGTGCTACATGCCTTGCCCACCTCGTCCTCCTTGACTTGGTCGTTCTAATTATACTTGGAGAAGAGTACAAGTTATGAAGCAGTTTTCTCCAACATCTTTATGCGGAGAAGAATAACGTCGGATAATGCAATCGGAAAGTTTAATTCAGTGACAACCTTACTGACTTACATTGCAGAGTGCTTGGTTCGAAACTTTGTGTGAAGTACCGGTTGCTGGGATACGTTTTCGTGAAAGTCCCTGCAGTCGATATCCACCCTTAAATGGTTCATGTTCTTTCCGGATCATAGCACCTCATTCCTTTACATCGCTCAGGTTCATGAAACCTTGCAATCAACACAGTGTCAGCAAATAACCAATGACTAAATACATAGAGTGCCGGTCACGGTAGCCCAGCGGTCTAAGGCGTGCACTGTCTTCGCTCGCTCGGAAGCCGGGATCGTGGGTTCGAATCCCACTCAGGGCATGGATGTTTGTGTGCGTTTTTCTGTGTTTGTGTACAGGTAGAGGCCTTGCGACGAGCTGATCACCCGCCCAAGGAGTCCTACCGAATGTCTAAGATCTAGAAAGAACCGAAGTGAACGGAGAAGTTCATGGAGGTAGGCCTAGGCCCACTGGGGCTGTAGTGCCAAGGGGAAAAAAATTACATAGAGTGTAATTATGACCTCTCGTTTCTTGTACATCGTTCAAGTACAGTTTTAATATCTTGTAAGTTTGTTACAAACGGTTCTCTTCTTCCTTCCATGTATAGGCCTAGGGATTTAATTGGGAGGTTTCATAACTGAATTCACGTGCATTCATCTGTCATTGTGTTATATTCACATAGTCATTTAGGCATTGTCCATCAGTGTTAACGTGTTCCACGATTGTGGCCATTGAGCTTGTTATGAGATAAAGCCTTCATTTAAATGATGACTCATTGCTTTGAAATACCTTGGGTTTCTTGGAAGACTTGAAAACCGGTCTTTATTCGCTCCTTGCAAGCAATAGTCTCTAATCAATTATAGTACGATGGTGTCAGTGAAGCTTAACAAGAGAGTCTTGACAATGCATCTCATGCAATTTTTGACGCTTCTATAAGTTTATTCTTATAGCTGAACTATTGAGATAGGTGTTTAATGACGCTGAATTTATTATAACTGTCATCTCTTCTAATGCCTTGACACTTCCTTTAGTTAAGAATATTGACATTATGCATCAGGGTCCTTTTTGTATTGCTAGTGGGGTGGGACTGAGTCCCTTGTACTGCGGCCACTTCTGGTCTATTGTACCAGCCCCAGAGGTGAGGTTTTCTGAGAAGTAATGGGTCTGGAACGGTGTCCACTCAGCCTCGTGAGGATAACTGAGGAGGTGTTGCAAGGAAATAGCGGTTCCGATCTAGAAAACCGAAATTAACGGCCGTGCGGATCCGTTGCGCTGGCCACATGACACACTCTATCTGCAAAAGTTGGCACTAACTTCGCCGTCAAGCGGCGGTCGCTCTGTCGGTATAGTTAGCTTGAGGACTACAGGCCACGAAATTTTTTCTTTTGTTTGCATAAGCCAGAAGACATTTTTTTAATCTGACCCTAACTGCAGTAATCACTTTATCATACTCTCCAGAATATGCTGTAAAACGTATCCTCGTATATTTCATATCATATGAATGACTGTATTCCCTCTTCTTACAGAATCTATTTTATTTCTTCGGATATTTCTTTTCTTTGTTTCATTGCAGTTATTTTCTTTCATAGGCTTCATAAATTAACAATTGCATGTCTCTTCTCAATCAGTATATTTTCTTTTTGAGAAATGGAGAATGTAGGTAACAAGAAATCAGAGAAATTTTATTATTATAATAATGTCTCACATATTAACCAGACTTACTCTTTGTTATAGTAAATATACCTACGTGTCATGTGCGCATGATTGTGTTTCTGGTATTAAAATTTCAAATTCTGTGAAAAATTTTTGTAATTTTTTTGTTTCCCTGAGGACACGCGGTAGAGTGATTGGTTAAGGCACTGTGCTACAAGCCGGAAGGTCGTGGATTCAATTCCTCATTTGATTTTTCGATTGATCTAATCCTTCCAGCCGCACTATGGCCCTGGTGTCGACTCAGCCTCTAACAGACATGAGTACCAGGAATCTTCCTAGGGTTAAAGGGCAGCCGGCGCGTAAGGCTGACCTCACCGCCATCTGTGAGCCGATTCTCTAGACGATGTGGGAGCCTCGACGTCCCACAAACCTATAGACCTCCAAATCCTGTTGCAGGGATAGCTTTACCTTTTTACTTTTTGTTTCCTTGGTTAAGATTTGAAATAGATATGGGGAGGGAAGTGGAGTTGTGATTACATACCTAGAACATTTTTATGTTAATGTGACTTTGTAGCAGTTTCTGATGGTCACAATTGGAGGAGCAATACATAATAGAACAGACGTTAGGTCTAAGTGTTCTTAAACGTGAATTGAAAGCACAAATATCTATCTGCAAAAGTCGAATTATATTGTACATTATCTGACTTCGATATCCTCCCTGTATGTTATGCAAATTGTTGGTGACGGATTGCTCATTTGTTGCTAATAATTGTCGTTTATTTGTGCAGGGAAGTGGTGCCCAACGCGACGGGAATGGCCCTCGCCAGCGGATGCGCGAGCGGCGGCGAACGACGCACGCAGGGGCGTCCTGTATTCGTCCGTGTTCCTGGGCAGCCCCGGTGAGTACAACGGTACGTCTCACAGGACTTTCTATTATCTCGGTGTTCTCTCATAGGATCTGACGTCTGCGCGTGTTGAGTCTGCAGTAAGCGCATACGAGGCGAGACAGTCAAAGCAGACACTGCCGCTATACATATTAATGACTGATTCACAAAATTTACAATTGGCAACTGTAGAGCAATACTTGCACTTACTTTGTAACATGTTAATTTTAGACTGGTAATGTGTATGTTCATAAATCTTTTGTTATACCTGTAGGTAATGTTCAGTATTGAATTATGTGTCAGTCTCGATGGCCAGGAAGCCATGAACCATCTTCCCCTGCTCGAACACTGGGATCGTGGGCTCGAATCCCATTTGAGTCATGGTTGTATGAGTTTATTCTGTCTTTGTGTTGTTCTGTGTAGGTAAGCGGTCTTGTGAAGTGCATATCCCCCGTCCAAGGAGTCCTATCGACTCTCTCTCTCTCTATATATATATACGAGTATATATATATATATTAATAAATTGAAAAAGCAGCCAAAGTCCAACAAAAGGCTGTAGAGCCAAAGACAGATAGACAAACAGGCAGACAGGTAGTTAGCTAGACAGATAGATTAGGTAGGTAGGTAGGTAGGTAGGTAGAATTATGTAATTGCACATTTCTGCTACAAATAGGTGTAAAAGTGCTGTGAGGTGCTTTTTGTATTGGGTAATGTTAAGCCCACAGATTCATTTTTTTTTTTTCGTTTCTTTTGTTAATGCAAAATATGGCTACTGCTAGATGTATTACGATCAGTACTACTGCAGGATATGCATTACATTCTGTTTAGTCTCAATATAATATTCTGTAATTAAATTTAACATAGAAATCGGTTATGTGGATTATATTGTTTAGGCAATTTAGTTTTTCTAAAGAAAATTCGAGACATGTTAGAATCGTTCAGTTTAAGAGAAGTAGTGTAGAGTGTACGAACTTGGATGAAATCTGAAGTACACGTTTGTGGTTAAATCTTTTTATGTAGCATGGATGTGTTCTGGCGAAGAAATATAATTTACTCTCAGATGAGTATGAAAAAGCATTGTTAGATGCAACATGAATGTATGTTGTAAGGAACTTAATAAACTCCTTTGTGAACGCTAAGCCTTTGAACTTGATTTCTAAACTGTTTAAGCAATTAATTTTAGCTTTGCCCTCTGAGGATTCCAAGGCAGAAGGCCACAGTAGCCGTCCATATCAGTTGATTTATTCTGTATTATAAATTTTGATAAAATAAAATTAAAAAGTGCCTACTTATGTTCGTTTTATTATTTTTCTAAATTTCATTTTTATTTGGATAATTTATAGTTCAATATTTCCGACGCCAGGACCCCTGTATTGTAGGCATATTGAATACTAACAATGAGAAAGTTCTGATTAATTTTCCATAGTTATTCCGTGCTAAAGAGAAAACTCTTTGTAAACAGTCACATTGTGAGCCTACATTAGAAAAATCTACCCTGCTTTGCTGACCGTACACTTTCAATTAGTTTTGTACATTCCATTTATTTTTTTACTTCCTTTCTGTCCCTTTTCAGTACGACCAAACCTCCCGAGCCCTCTCTTTCCCCTCCCCTCTTGTACACATTCCTCAGCAGACTGTGTCTCCGGGCTTATGGTGGCGCTACAGTACAGAATACGCAGGTCTAATAACTGAAAACGACTACGAGCGCGGGCGCACGCATGCATCTTCAGCTCATGCAGTTGTTATGGAAACCACCCACATTCCCGCCTTGTAACCATGGTAACGTGAGCTAACGCATGCGTTCTGCTTTGCTTAAACATCAAAGAACAACGACAGGCTTCTCTATCTAACAAATCGCACGATAAAATATGGCGATGGACGTAGATACCAAACAAGTGATGGCGGTTTTCTGAGGCAGAGGAGCAGAGGAGAATAAAAAGGGGGGAAAATGAAAGGGCATGAAAGCCATAATTTTACGTAAACCCGTGACTGTGTTCAAGAGGATAGTAGCAAAATAATCGAAACTGGGTTAAGGTATAACAACTCTTTCACTGTATGCGTAGGAGTTCAGGTTCAAAAGTTATAACGCGCGTGTAATCCGGTGAATATCAACCGATGTTTAGGAGGAACATGCCCCCCCCCCATCTCCAGACTCGAAGATTAAACCAATCAAAAAACCAACATGAAGCAGGTAGCAAGTCCTGCTTACTCTTATCGCCCAATAGATTAACATTTTTTCTGAGTATGTCACGCCCAATTTATTCATGACGTTGAAACGGCCGATTTTGTATTTGCAATGCTCACCATTTCTTTCTACCTTCTTCATGCTGGTCTTTTATTTGACTTACTCTTCGACACTGCGTACACGGCGTTACATTCCATTCTTCTTTGAATATCCGTTCGGACATTGCACCAGTCGTAGAGAAGCATTGTTTTGCTGCAGCCTTAGAGCCATATGAAGACGCAATAGATTCCAGTTTTCTCTCTCACTTCCTCTGTAATTCTCTGTCACGGAATAGCCGCCCGGCTACAAGCCAGTGTTGTAGCCTTACTTCAATTGCACACAGGCTTAAGCGTTGGTTCACCTCTGTGTTGGTCTTCCCGGGTGTATTATTACGTTCATAAGAGCCAAAGATGTCCATCACTGGAACTTAATAGGTTTATCTGGTGTCTCAGAATCCGAAAATCGAACAAAAATATTTTGCAGGACACTACACCCCCCCTTCCTCCCAAACGGACACGTTTCTTATTTGAATTTAATGTTAAGGCGAAAAGTAAATTTATCTCTGGGCATAATTAGTTGAGCTTCAGTTGAGAAGACGTGTTGGAATGGAGGTATAACTCCACCATTCCTAACCTCGGCACTGGATGTAAGCGAATGGTCAGCTTCATTCTCCGGCTGCTTTACGTTGCAGAAAGGGCTCTCGGTACCCTTCAGGCAGGAAGCTTTGTAAGCCCCAAAACTGGTCTACGTGCGGAGCCGAAAAAGACAGATCCTTGTCCTACCGGGGACAGAATTTTGTCGCCCTGTCCTCAACTGAGAGTAGCCACTTTACTGACTGAGCTGTGAAACCTGTGGGCTCTATTCTTACACCAAACTTCACCATTTAGGAAAGAAATTTCTTGATGGGTCGCCGTTGTGTAACAGATCAAAGTACTGTGGCGTATAGATCCGTTACTAGGAAAAGAAGTCGAAAAAAAAACAACGAGAAAATAGCCGTTGCTATGCAGTGGCGCTGTAAACGCGCCTCTTCAACGATAGAGTTACAGTAGGAAACGGTGTTATGCATCCCGTTGCTAGGCATCTGCAACAGCCTGACTATAACAGTGGAAACGGGGATGTTTTATATGTGGTCCGTTCCGAGGAGTTGTCTTGAAGATAACTGGGCGTCCCAGTTAGTTGAAAGTCAGCCTATGAAGAGAAGACAAGAAGTTTGGTGTGAAATGGTTACCAGCCTGGGAGTTGTCAGTTAAGAATTGCGTTGTGCACGGGGGGCTGTGAAGATAGAACCGGGGTGCATGAAGCTGAAAAATCTCCACTGTTAGAAACCGTTGCCAGGGAACGGCTGATGACAGCAGGCTGGACAAAGGCTTAGGTGGTGCTGTGGTGATTTCTAAAGTGTGTAGATTAGTGATAGCTCTGTAATTAGTTGCAGTTCCCAGTGGTGTGTATAAGTGACCAATGAATCCATTCACCAATCCAAACACCTTCTGTAGTCCCACGTAAATCGTGACAGTACGGGCTCCTAGTTTCGATTTCGTGCTGTGTCAGGTAGGCCAAACATAGGATACAATTTTCGTTAAAATGGGATGAAGTTGGACTTTATTAAAACGTGAATTTCGGGATATTATGCAAATAATACTGTTACGTTACAAAAGTTTATAATCAGTATAATTACGTAATATATGCAGGGGTTGAGAGAAATGGTAAATCTCTTGTATTGTTTCTCTTGCCAATTCTCTTGTTTCTTCGGCAGTGCTAGTAACCTCTAAAGACTGAGAGCCTGGAGGGTCACGTGGCCTTCTAACAAACCCTTGATTGGGCAATCCATCACGCCCCCACACACTACCCTGTAATTGGTTCCCATGGAACTTGAGGCTAGAAGGTATTGTTACATCATACTGGAAGAGCGAGAGTGAATCCCTTCTCCCATTATAATTGTTACGTTCGTACCAACCATCTCGAAGTGGAAAGCGCCATCACTCAACTTGAAGGCGGTGGTTGGGGTGGAAGATGGGCTGTGTCCTTCCTTCTACGGGAACAAAGAGAAACTCTGTACAGGCCAACTTCCCTTTCATTTGTATTCATTTAGTTCTGCCGTATTTCTCGACGGGATGTACTGAGCGGGTAACGGGGGTGTCATTTTATTTCTGCTCTTATTGCGGAAAATGGGTGCATCCGAAAGTTGATTCTGACTCCTTCGAGTTGAGCCCTTCTTGAGAACCCTCCATTTATGAAGGGACTCAATTTACCCCAATATTTTATGGAACCCGAAGGTACATTACTGTGTTCACAAGAGTCATCCACTTTTCTATACCCTGAGCCAGAGAAATCCAATCCATACCACCCCATCTAAGATCCATATTAATATTATTCATCTATTTACGTCTGGGTCAAAAGTTGATTTTAACAAAACGAATTTGCTATAAATTAAATTAGTGTTGGAAGAACCGACGGAGATGCTTTTGACGCATCTTTTAAAAATTCTCTTGTTTGCTTTGTCCTTGACACCGTTCCTCTGACCTGAAATCTGTTAGAGAGTCGAAAATTTTCACGGCAATTTTTTTTATCAGTTCAATATCCAGTTTAGCTTTTTGTAACTTGACTTGAATACTGAGGCAAGAACATCCCAGGTGTTATCTTGCAGCAGTAGGTTTTCAGAATTTGATTTGTAACACATAAGGGTTAAAGAGAGGGTATGATTATATAAGTACAGTGGCCCTTATGTTTTCGAGGTACGAATATGAATATCCAAAACCAGCACTTCGGCGCAAAGTATTGAAGTAACAAGATGAATTCGAATTCC